GAGTGTATAGATGAAAAGAGAGGGACACTGGTGAGTGGAAGGGGAGAGATTCAGCAAGATGAATGACAGAGTTAAGAAAACTGTCACAGGGGTTTCTCAGCTTTCTTTTTAATACAAGGGACTATTCTTTGTAGAAGGTCACTAAAATCTGACATGCTTAAGGATTACTGCTGACCAGAGGACTTGAGTGAGACAAACCTGGCTCTTCTGAAGCATCTTCCCTCATCTTGATGGGATCCTTGAGGCTTCCCTGCCTGTATCTCCCACCTTCTGCTCAGGCTGCTCATCACCTGCTCCACCCCTCATTGCCATGAGAGGCCAGTTTATCTAAAAAGCACGCTTGCCTGCTGTCCCTTTCCCCCGGTCTTGCTTCTCTTGAAGATTTAAAACTTTCTCTTGAGATTTAAAACTTACCTGCGGATGTGCCTGATCTCTCTGCAGTCGGTTGTGCTGATGGCCTTTGCTGGGAGTGAGGTGAGCTGCACCTGAAGCACTTTGTGGCTGCAGCAAGCAGTTTTTTAGTTGTTGCTTCTTTCCCTGTAGATGCGTGCTGGTCCCCAGAGACCATCTGGTAAAGCAGGCTGAAGGTTTTCAGGGAGCTGACCAGGTGCAAAAAGTCAGCTTTATCTTGGCTAGATAAAATAAATATTCTTTCCCTGTCTTTCTGGCTGTAACGAGGGATAACTTTTCTCTTGCTGTTTGTTGATGTGCAAAAAATGCCAAGTGACTTTTCAAAGTGTGTTGGTACCTGGTGTGGACCCCTCAGCAGTAACTCACTAGGAAGCTGTTACCAAAACTGAAGAGCTCTCAAGTGCACCCCTGCCGGCATGAGGGACTGTTTCTTTGCTCAGTCACTTTATTCTTCTGAAACTTCTCAACTCTCTCCAATAATCCAGCCCAGCCTCCTTTTGCACCACCCCCGGCGCAGACAATGGGCCCTGGGTTTCAGCAGAGCGGGAGTCTGAAGTGCAGCTGCCCCGCCTGGGGCCGTCGGGAGCTGTGGTGGATGCGGAGCATCGCCTCCTGCCTGGGCTGTTTCATTCCCACCCTGTGCTCGGCCCGGTTGCACGCTTCACTCTCCCCGTCAGGCTCCATTAGCGACAGCCCAGGGAGTCTGACTGCAAGTGTGTGTCCTTGCGTGTGCACGCGCGCACACGCTGGCGGGAGCGGATGCAGCCCCGGGACCAGCTCGCGGGGCCGGGCTGTCACCGCTGTCACCGGCTTCTCGGAGCCCAAAGCTCAGCCTCGCTTCCGCAAACCAAGTACAGGCTTTTGGCCTCAGGAGCATCTCCCAGGTGTTGAGAAAGGAGCTTTGCTGGAGATTCCCAGCAGCGCGGTGACGCGGGTGGGTTTTAGGTTTTGTTCAGGAAGTTCGGAGCCCTTGCTGGTTTAACGGCAGCTTTGCTGGCAGGCAACAAAGCGTCTTATGGCCCCGCTTCTTCCTACCATCTCCTGTTCTGGTTGCCAGGTTTGCTGGGCTCTTACGTCACTTCCCAGTGCTGCAGCATCCCACAGGGGTCTGGGCCTCTCCCGTCTCTTGTCATCTTACTCCAGGAGGAGACTCTCTGAAACACAGGCGAGGTCTGACTCCTGCGTGTTTCTGCTTTCCTTAGGCCCTGCCTAGTTAAATGCCTCCTGACGTCCCATCACCTCCAGCTGCCAGCAGGCACACGTGGGGCGGCAGCGACCATGAGTGCAGCCGTGCCCCCGTTGGCCCAGCCCACCATCATCTTACAGCAGTTGATGTGTGTTTATATGCCTGACAGTGCTACCATCTCCCTCAGCCCCCCGGCCCCCTTCACATCACCAGCTGTGCACAAGCAGCACCCACCTTGCCCCAGTGGGACTGGGAATGTTCCTGCCATGTTACCAAAACCCAGCAGAACCCCCCTGGCAGGGCGGCCAGAGCGCGTGGCTTGTGCTTCCCAAAATGAATGCAGGAGACAAAACGCAGGACTGCTTCCCCACTTGGTGACCCAGAGTGACAATTTCAGCTCTGCTGCTGCTGCTTGGGTGTCAGCAGTGGGACCTGCTGCCCTTTGGGATGCTTCTGGGTACGGCCAGAAGGTTGGTGATGAGTCTCTTAGCGCTGCAGCCATCGAGGAACAGCCATGTGCTGGGAGTTGTCTTAGTCCCCACTTGAAAAAGGGGTCTGGTGGTTTGTGCATGCGTTTTCCTAAATGTCACAATTTTGCTGTAAATGGAACCTGACATAAGCAAAGGGTCTTAGAAGGAAAGCCCAAGATCATTGTATCTATTACATGACAGGAGAAGACAAAAAGGAGAGGAAAGTCAATTAAATTAGAAACTATATGCAAGTATGGCAAAAGTAACTTGGCCTCACTTAATGAGCTACTATCACAGAATCATTAAGGCTGGAAAAGACCTTTAAGATCATCAAGTCCAACCGTTAACCCAACACCACCATGCCCACTAAACCATGTCCTGAAGTGCCACGTCTACAGGTTTTTTGACCACCTCCAGAGACGGTGACTCCACCACCTCCCTGGGCAGCCTGTTCCAATGCTTGACCACCCTCTCGGTGAAGAAATTTTTCCCAGTATCTAATCTAACCCTCCCCTGGCGCAACTTGAGGCCATTTCCTCTCATCCTATCACTGGTTACTTGGGAGAAGAGACCAACACCGACCTCACTACAACCCCCTTTCAGGTAGTAGTTTCATTTCAGCATCTCAGTGCCCTTGTAGTGAGGGGCCCAAAACTGAACACAGGATTCAAGGTGCGGCCTCACCAGTGCCAAGTACAGGGGCACAATCACTGCCCTACTCCTGCTGGCCACACTAGTGCTGATACAGGCCAGGATGTTGTTGGCCTTCTTGGCCAAAGCCAAGATTCGGTCATAATCGGAACAGATTTAAAAAGTCTTTGTTTTACAGATATGCTGTCATTCAGCAATACTATTTACTAGAGTCCTTGGATGAATGGTGGCCCTGTGTTGTAAAGCAGGTTAAATTACATACAGGCAAGTATGTAATCACAGTTGCCGTCTTTTAGCTTTGAAATGTGTTTGTGTAAATCACACAAGACGACTTCTGTGTGCGAGATCCTACGGCAGCGTGTAAGACAAACACAGCAAAGACGCACAGACGCACACATATGCTTTGTCTGTGCGTTAGCACAGCATTTCCTGAAGGATGGCGGCAGTTCAAAAGAGTCAGCCAGGAAATCACCTAAGGGCAGCTGGGTTGTTCACCACTGCCCCAATTTTCATCCTCTACGTTGTCCTCTTGGTGTCTGCAGCAGCTTGAGTCTATTCTTTCTGTTTCTAAAGGTTACCAGCACAGCAACGTGCCCCAGTCCGTACGTCAGAGCTGTCATTTCAAGCCATCTGCAACATGCTGCTGCTGCTTATTTAAATGTTAACTTGTTCGCTCCTCAGAACATGCAGGGAGGGAGAGAAAGATCATGAAACAATTATGTAGAGCTTTGTAAGGCCTTTTTTGCCCACTTCCTTCCACAGCGACAGCCAAGATCACCTGAGGAAAACTCTCTAATGGGGAAGAAGTCTATTACCTTCAGTTGCAGATCCTGAACTTTCAGTACTTGTACGCTATTTAATTGCTTTAGCTACTTTTTTTTTTTTTTTTTTAGTGGTGCACTAGAAGCTTATGTTCAGTCAGTAAGAACAAGAGAGGGAAAGGAGTTTGCACCAGTCTATCCCATAATGGTTCAGCTGCTGCAGAAAGCGATGTCGACCCTTCAGTGAACCTGTTTGGACAACTCTCGCAACAGGGGACAGACAGGAGCAGAGTCGGGTGTCTGCCATCAGCCTTTGGTGCCGCACATGTACTTACAGTTCATGCAAATTATTCCCAAATATATGAGCTTTATAGTGAAACATGTTTACCTACTTCACCCGAGAAACTTCTCCGTTCTTGCTTTATGTTTGCATTAAAGGAACTTATTTATACACAAATATTATAAGGAAATCATACTATTTTTATGTGCTGCAATTCTTCACCTAATAAAAATGAATCATTCTTTAGCATTCCTTTTGAATTTAGAAAGGTGTAAGCTTAGAACATGCTCAAATATTACAGTATAATTGCTGAGTATCTCAAATAAGGAAGTAGCTCTTTTCCTACAAGTATAGTTTTAAATGAGTACATTTTAGCCTTATTCAGAACATCGTACTTTTGAAATGCTAGAATCATCAGTTTCCATCTAAAAATAACTAATTTTAACAGAAGTAAAAATATTTATAAATAACAGAAATTATTCTCTACTGCACTGTTATTTGCTTTGAAATAATTTATATTGATTTCAACTCTCTTTTTGCTTAAACTGTAATAAAGAACATCAACTATCCAAGCCTGAATTCAGTATTTTAAATTCTTCATCCGCTTTCTAACAGCAAAGCATCAAAATAAACTTTGGCTGGGTTCACATAAAGACTTCCATGCAGAACGTGCTCATCGCTACAGGGCTGACTTAGTGATTAGTATTCTTCATTTTATAAAATACGCAACACCGAATTTTAATGAATTTATTTGAAATAATATACAAGAATATAGTGTGCAAAAATCTTAGGGGCAACATCATGTAGACGTGTCATAAACTGAAATTTACAGTTGTGATTCTTAAAAAAAAAAAAAAGAAACACACAGCTGTTTAGTACATGAAAAGCCATGATTGTAGAAGTTCACAGCAGAAGCAATTGTAATCCTAACGCAGCTGCTCTAAATTTAGACAGTTGGAGGAAAAAAAAAAGTAAAGTGCAAGTGTTGCACGTATAGTTAAGTGCAAAGTTTGCCCCCACCATAAAGATGTCTTATGGCAAAATAAAATATTGTAGAATATGTGGCAAAGACAAAATACAGAGTTAAAACTATGATGGTGACGATACCAACAGCACCATTTTTCTTGAGATAACGCTATTTATTCGTTTCATCCTGTCCTGGGCCCTTGTTTCCACCAGAAATAACAATTCTCACTAGCGCCAGCTGCTGCAAAAACATCTCCCTTGTGGCTACAGACTTTATAGGTGGCAACCCAAGCAGCAGCTCCCGAGCTACGTTACGCGACGCTCTCCATCTGCCGCACGTTCCAGCAACTTGTTGGCATCCGGGCAGGCTGGGAAGCTACAGGCTGATAATACATTTTGCCATTTTTTAAAATCCCAGGCCCCAGAATCGTAATTAATAATATGGTTGTGCAATACATATTAATCAGCAATAAGAAATCAATGTATATAAACAGCTGTTACATATTTTAAAATTCCCCTTTTTGTACATTTTCTTTTAAAAATAAACATTTATACACGTCTCCTTCGCCTCTTTCTAAAGTACTTTAGCACCACAGGATATCCATTTTTCAAGCCTATATTACCTGATACATGTATGAAGTTTGGAAGAAAAATAAGGCAATTTGGTTTAAAATGTTGATAGTTTTAGCTTACTTATTGTTCTATTGTAAAAAGCAAATCTGCACTCCTATTAGATCATGTCCGACTTGATGGTGCCAGTATTTTATGGTCACACAAAGTCACAACAATAGTAAGACCTTGATCTTGCATCTTCTTGCCATCAAGCAACAGCCATGTTGTAAATACAGAGTTAACAGGAAAATTCTGCTTTAATGCTGTTGTGAGCCCTGAGAAAAAAAGAGAAAACCAGGTCAGCAGTCACCAAGCAAAGGGGAACTAGACATTATCTTAAATCTTGTTTTGAAAGCCACAAGTACTTGTAATCATTGGCCAGTTACTCAAAAGAAAACAAAAGGCCAGAACAGATGATTTAATCCCCTGATCATCAAAAGACTGTCCAGACTTTTGTCACAGCCTAGAGTCCACCATCATTACTTGATAAGGTGACCAAGCTGTGAAAAAAATTCTCCAAGTTGCTTCTTACTGCTGTATGTACTTGGAGCATTTCTTATTCAGTCTTACGGTAACACTTGCATATACTCTTGAGAAAGTTAGCCTCATCTACACATGAAGGGGGGTACTCTGAGGATGAATCTTAAACCTCTGAAGTCTGCAACACACTTGATGCTCCTACCCAGGCACAAAATGGCTGATGAAGGGATCTGGCATTTTGCACACCTCTGTGGATCCTTCCTTCCAACCTGCTCTGCTGGCTGTACATGCAGGTGGGCAGAATCTCCTTTTTTTGATATTCTCTTTGCATGATATATTAGCTTGAAACCCCTTATTTTACCGAATACATCCACCACCTACTAATACATTGCTGCAGATTCTTAAATTGATGGCCTTCTACAAAGTGGAAAACAATTTATTTCCCTAC